CAACTCGCCTCTGCCTCTGTCTTCACATGGATGTCTCCTCTTTGTCTTCTCTTCTTCTGTCCCTTATAGGACACTTGTCGTTGGATTTTGGCCCACCCAGTTAATCCAGAAGGAATGATATTCTTAATCTAATTCATTGGGAGAGGGTAAAGGGAATGTCATTATTCTACTTACTACAGATACTTTAGTGAATAAAGCTTCACAAATTATGTGAAGTTCAGTAGGAGGATTGAATAGGAATTCACGAGAGCAAATTTGGCACATTCACGCAACTGGAAGAAATTCAGTATGGTTGGAGAATGATAAGAGATGAATCTGGAGATACATACTAGAGACATTCATATGGAGCCTTTTTAACAAAGTTAAGGGCTTTGGACTTTATCATGAGATAAAGACAGGGCTCTGTGATTGATCAACACCAATATGATAAGAAGGTAGGAATTATCCCATCAAGACCAAGAGCTGCAGCAGGTCCTGAGTGTTCCTCCTATTCCACATGGCAAACCTTATTCTTCTAGATATCTGATTGTACAACATCCTTCAGGACATTTGTTCCTGCTCAAAATGTCCGCAGAGACATTTGGTCCACACCAAACCATTCTTGATATTTGGCCCTATTCAAAATAACCACAGAGACACTTGGTCCATGCCAAAAGGTCGTTGAAATCTGGTCCTATTAAAAATGTCCATGAGCATATTTGATCCATGCCAACTGGTCCTTAATATTTGGTCCTGTTGAAAACATCTACTCTTAGAACATGAATCATAACAAAAATAACATAAACAAAATTTTAACAAGTTAAATGTGTTATTTAATGACATTTTGGATAAGACCAAATATGACCAGCTCCCAGGTGTACTGGTTAATAATGCGGATTTTTTTTTCAATAGATGGAGTTACATGGACCAAGTGTCTCAGTGGACATTCTGTATGGAACCAAATATCAACTAGCAAATCTGTAACACAATGTCATAGTAAAATTGTTCTGAAAGGTTGTGACAAGGATATTTACTTCAACAATCTCATTTTACATACATGAAACCAAGATCAAGCAAGGCTATGATTGTTCTAGGGCAGCGGTGGGCAACCTTTTTGTGAGTGCGTGCCAAAACCAGAAAAATCTCTGACTCAAAATTTTTCTGCGTGCCAACCCTAATTTTTTGAGAACATGTTATGCCTACTTGATATCTCTTAAGGTGTACGTATGTGAAGAAACTTGAAGAAATAATAAAATTCATTCGAGCGACAAAAACACAGTATATGATGATGAAAAATACATTTA